TTTTTTACATTTATACAAATTTTCTTGTTTGAATAATTTTATTTTTCGCTGCATTTTAATAAAACATAAAAACTCCATAAATTTCGTTTTAGGTAGGTAAATATTCATTAAAAATATAAATTTTTAAATAGTTTATATATACAATAATAGACAATTTTGTATTTTATTTTTGTAATTTTGATAAAAATGCAATATATATAAATTTGATAAAAAAATATATATAATAAAAAATCAGATTATAATTTTATAATAATAATTATGTGTATATCATCAATATATTTATTCTATTTATTTTCAGTGGTTCAATAGAAGTAAGAAATGCCACAAAATGGATTGAGAACTCTTAAACGATTAACGGTAAGCGAAGGAACCTTTCCTTCTATTATAGACATATAATGATATTGTCTATATTTACAAAAGATTTACTGCATTCATTGTAATTCATATAATTCAGAACTGTATTATATGTTGTATATGAAATTATTTAATTCGATTTTTTTCATTAATTATTAAAAATTTCTTTTGGTAATAAAATAAGAATCATACATTTTAAACATTTAAATTATTTTTCCTCTAATATATAATTGATTTTGAATGGAATGTGTATTGCTTTTATTACTATTACTAGCATGTATGTATAGATTGATTCAATAAGTCCAGTATTAGGTTATAGTATGTTTTGAGGTTTGTAGTTTTGATGTACTAAGAATACTGTTACTATTTCTCTTTATACTTTGTCTTATTTTGTTTGTTTAGGTTAATTCAATGGTTTCCTTTTAATGTTTCCAAATATGAAACCTTGTGAATGATCTTTTTTTTTTCAACTCAATGTCTTGAAAATTCTGAATGGCTTGAAATAAAATCATCAATATAGTATATATAATTAATATTATTAATCAATAATTGAATGTTTTATCGAATGTTGAATATTAAATGTTTAATCAAATTTTTTTTCTTTCTTTTGATCTTTTTTTTAAATGTTTTCATATAATATATTAAAAAATTCTTTTTAATTTGAATTAAATGTTATAATGTATAATATTTTAGAAATTAAATATGTTAATGGAGCTTTATGAATTTTAAATTTAAAGAATTCTTTGGTATTAGTAGAAAAAATTCTCATAAATGAATGTTCGTGAAAGTTATTGAATATTGTAAAAATTATGTATACGAGTTTTATATATCATTTATTTTTTATCATTATAATAGTTTAATATATATATACTAAGTATTATATAATTTAAAATATATATTAAGTTTATAATTTATTTTTAATGTTTTTTTATGAATTTTTGTTTTCCAATTTTTTAAATATAATATTTCTTGCGTGTGGCTGAAGGAATTTTCAAATATCCTAAATTGTTCAACATCGATTATATTACTGTTGTAGTTATTTATGTCATATAAGTGAAGATTTCTTTATTTTCCTGTGTATTCAAACTTTTTTCCTATTATTATATTGTTTAGTAAATTGAAATGTGGTGATTCATTTAACCTCAAATTGAAGAAAACATGTGACCACTCGCACTTCAAATATTCAAATGCTTAAAACTTTGTAATTTAATAGGATTAATAGGATAATTCAAAATGATTTGTTTAATATCAAACCAAGAAAGATCAAGAAAATATTTATATCATACAATAACATCAATAAAATAACCATTTAGTCAAGTTTTAAAATTTCTCAAAACAAAGAAATTCTACAATAAACAAAATATCTAAATTTTATAATCAGGAAAAAAAGTTCTTTTTTGTATTATCTTTTATAAGAAATTTTAATATATCAATAATATATACAAATACTTAGGACATGTATTGTGCAACAAGAAAAAAATTTGCATTTCGTACCTAAAAACACATGAATATATGACAACGAATATATTCTGTCGAAAACCTATAAATATTATTACCTATAGAACATTTGACTATATAATTTTAATCATGAATTTTAAATCTTTCAATATTTTGCAGTAGAGAGAACTGTTTGCAGTAGTAGAGAACTATTACTGTTATAAATAAAAATTGAAAATCGAATCGTAAAGATCGAATTATTTGAGTCTAATTTTAAAAATGGTATTTATTCTTATTATTTCTATTTTATATAATATATATATATATATACACATATTATATTATTTATTTTATACTATATTTTATGCTATAATATATTTTATATATATATTATCTATTTTATACTATAATATATAATATATAGAATATATATTATATTATTACTCAGATTAAACTTTAAATTTAATATAAAAATAGAAAAATAACTTTAATATATTAGTCAATTAAGCATAAATAAGAACATAGAGTTGCCACATTATACAAAATTTTGGCCCTAAAAAGGCCGATTGTTATTTTTAAAAAGTAGCAATTTAAGCTCTTTCTCCACGAATACGACGAGCCAACTGAATGTCTTTCGGCATGATCGTAACACGTTTGGCGTGAATCGCACATAGATTGGTATCTTCAAATAAACCAACGAGATAAGCTTCGCTAGCTTCTTGGAGAGCCATGACAGCAGAACTCTGGAATCTTAAATCTGTCTTGAAATCTTGAGCAATTTCACGAACTAAACGTTGAAATGGCAATTTTCGGATTAGAAGTTCAGTGCTTTTTTGATATCGTCGAATTTCACGAAGCGCTACAGTTCCAGGCCTGTAACGATGAGGTTTCTTCACTCCACCAGTAGCAGGAGCACTCTTACGAGCAGCTTTAGTCGCCAATTGTTTACGTGGCGCCTTTCCACCAGTTGATTTACGTGCGGTTTGTTTGGTACGAGCCATTGTATTCTAATCGAAACTAAGAACTTTCAACGACGCGTTCAACGTAATTGTAAAACGTAAAATGCGCTCCAGCGCGTCTGTCTTCCACTTTTTATGCTATGCGATTCTCGGTTGGAAACTCCTGATTGGTTGAGCATATACTGGAGGGGGAAGAGTGTTACTGTGTATGCAGAAATATAATATTGAAATCATGCTTTTTCATACGATTTAATGAATATTATTAGATAAATTTTATAACACAGAAATTATAATTGATTAATTCAAATAATTATTTATATTTATATTATATTAACAATAATTTTGATAACAAGAAATATTTTATAATTAATTTTCAGAAGATTTAAATTATTTGATTATTTTTTTTTAATATAAAATTGTAATTATCTAATATTATTAATAATTGTATATAATATTATATAAGAGAATTCTGAAAAAATTTTGTTGCCAACATAAGGAGAGGGGGAAAGGTATACATCTGTTTGAATGTATTTGTGTCGTACTTTGCGACATCTACCGAGGAATCTTAGAAAGTTTCAAGTACGTTAAATTTAGTGGTTTGAAAAATTAAAATTTGATTTTTATATATATATAAAAAAGAATTTAATATCAAAAAAAATTATTTGAATTTTTTGAGAAGTGATGAGGATTTTATGTAAGTTTTATAATAAATAATGGTACAATAGCTTAAAATTTTTAAAATTAAAAATTTTTTTTTATTTTTATTAAATATATTAATTAAAATTAAATAAAGTTAAATATTTTAATTATTTAAAATTAATTTTTTTTATTTTGAATACAAATTGGATTAAACTAAAAAAAATTTGTTTTTCAAAGTAAAGAAACGATTTTGAATTTTGTTCAGAAACAGTTATACTGACAAATCTTATTTAGTTTCAAAATCTAAAATGCCATTATTTGTTATGTGGTATTTAATTTTCATTAAAATTTGAACTGTTAATGTGATTAAAAAAATCAGATTTGTAATTCAATGAAAAAGACAGCAAATTGAAGTAATTCTAATATTCGAATTGGTTTTATCATTTGATATTTAAATAGCGAATATTGTATAAAAAAAATTTCAGATAATTATGGGATTTATTTTAAAAATAGATTAAAAATAGATATTTCAAAAAAGCATGTACATAAAAAAAATATGTGATCAAAATATAGTCGAAAAGATTCAATATAATTTTTTTATGTTCATTTTTAATATAATTACATTCAAATTTTCAACATTATTTTTTTATATTATTTTTTTTATATTTTATATTTATTTCTAACATAATTTAAATAATATATAATTTAATGATTTTTATTTATATTAAATAATGTGGATAATTCGAATCAATTATTATGAATTTCGATTATTCAAATTATTAATCATTACTATTCATATTTAGAATTGTTATTTCTAATTATTCCATTATCTATTTATAAATTTGATTCTTTCAGCTTGATTATCGAAAAAAACGCTTATTTCAATATTTCTTTTCTTTTCTCAATTTCCCATTAAGTTTCTTTATTTTTATATCTATTCTAAGTTTGTTTTTTGATAATAGAAGCGAATATAAAAACGAATAATTTTTGTAAGAAGAAATATGTCATATTATGTTTTTGATTCTAAAGAATGAATTTTATATCCAAAATATTTAATTTTTTTTTTCATGATAAAAACTATTGTTTTCATTTTGTAGATTGATTTAGATTTTCCAGAAGGAAATTTAAGTGGTTTTATAGACAGGTAGAAACTTACTGATGCTTCCAAGACATGTTATTATTAACTACCGAAATACGATTTATGTCGCGTCACAGCAGTAACAGTGAGTATGTAGCAGCAATGCACCAATCAGAGGCTGTTAACTGCAACGCGGCTCATGATAGGTCGAGCGCTGCCCGCGTAGAATACGTAAAAGGGAACGCATTGGGGACTGTGCCATCACTTTTGGTTTGCAATTGAAAGAGGTACTTTCGTTGATTTTATAATATCCTTCAAATAACTTTGAGAAGCAAATATGTCTGGACGTGGAAAAGGTGGAAAAATTAAAGGAAAGGCAAAATCTCGATCAAATAGAGCAGGCTTGCAATTTCCTGTCGGCCGAATACATAGATTACTTCGTAAAGGCAACTACGCAGAACGTGTTGGTGCGGGTGCACCTGTTTACTTGGCAGCTGTTATGGAATATTTGGCTGCCGAAGTTTTAGAATTGGCTGGAAATGCAGCCAGAGATAATAAAAAGACTAGGATTATTCCACGGCATTTACAACTTGCTATCAGGAATGACGAGGAGCTGAACAAACTTTTATCTGGAGTTACAATTGCACAAGGTGGTGTTCTGCCTAATATTCAAGCAGTTTTATTGCCTAAAAAAACTGAGAAGAAAGCATAATTTTGCTTTTCATCTATTTAAAAATAACAAATCGGTCCTTCTCAGGACCATCAATTTTTATAACAAAGAACAACCTCGATAGAAACTATTATATGCTGTATTTAAAAAAATTAAGTAACATAATCAACATCAGAAAGGTTAGATATAAAGTAAATGTAAGGTTAAGTATATATATTCATGACAATAATTGCAGATCAATTTTACAAATTGAGAAATTTTTATGACATATAAATATTAATGCATCGCATTTTATCTATCTTATTTTTTTATAAGAAATAATTTTAAAAAATTCGATATATATAATAATATGACAAATTAATATTTTGATGAGATAGCATTATAAATCAGAATATATTATGTTTTTTAAAATTATTATAAAGACGAAATATAATTTTTTATATTTTTTATATTAAAAATTAAGATTGTAATTGTAATTTCGAAATACAAATCATGAAAGTATGTTCAATTGATATTCTATATGATCATACATCAAGAACAAGAATAGATAAGAATAGTAAATAATATGACAGAGATAGAATAATTGACTGCCAACACCATCTTTTGAGTGTTAAAAACATTTCTTTAAAGAAATAAATTCAATAACTGCGCGATAAAATAAAGTTATTAACAAAATTAAAAGAAAATAGAGATTTTCGAAAATACATTTGGGACACATGAGTTATTATGAATTATTGTGAAAATTATTATTCAGATAAAATCGATATAAATAAATTCTTATATTTAGTAACGACATACAAAACAAATTTTTCATTGCATAGAATATATTCATGTTGTGAAATACCATTCATCTAAAAAAATCAGACGTTTTCATATGCCTTTTAAAATTTAAAGTAACGAATTCAAGAATTCTTGTAAAATTGGTAAAATCGGCTATATTTCAGAAAATCTGATATTTGAAAAAAAAAAAAAATATGAAGCGATTCGAAAGCTAAAATCAAAATTTTGCCAAAAACATTTTATCTATGAGCTACAAAATTTATTATTTAATACATTTTTATACTTCAGATAGTTCCGAATTCTAGAAAACCCTATTATCATTTGAGCGTCATTCTCAATATTAACAATTCAATGTAGAATAAGATTACAATATTCGTCGTTTTGATTTGAAATTAAATTTTAATTTGAAATTACAAATAAACAGAGTATAGGAGAATAAATTATTATATAATCATAAAAAAAATTCTATACTATTAATTACTGTATATTTTATTAAATCAATGATTTTCGATAGAATATCTGTTAATTTCTATTTGTTAATTATCTGTTAATAAAATTATCTGTTAATATTTGATTATCTAAACAATTTTTAAATTATTAATTTTTGAAATTATTCGAATAAACTTCTTTTCTTTTTTTTTTATTCATAAAAATTTAAATTTCTTAAATATATTTAACGTAAAAAGTTATTTTTATTCTTTGAAAATTACAAATACAGTTTTATGTATATATATATATATGCATTATATTTTAAATAATACATTTTTAAAAATCTGGAAAAATATTATTTTGTTTGAAATTTATTATATTATTATTTTATTATACATTTTATTTAATTTCTTAATTCATAACGTAATTTCAATTAAATGAATTTTATAATTAAATCGATTCATTTTAAATTTCAAAAAATAAAAAAAATAATAAAATAAAAAACTTATCAAATATATATAAAATTATATATAAATATATAACATTAAATAAAAATATATTGATCATTATGTAGAGAAATTATCTTTAAAAATTTAAAGATAATTAATTATATGTATATTTGTATATATACATAGCTTATTATATAAATTGTATATTCACTTTTAGCATTTTAAAGAATAAATTTAAGAAAAAAGTAATACTTTATAATTATATAAGTACTTTTTATATATTGTATTTATCATTATCAATGATTATTATTACAATTAGCTATAATATATTATCAGAATTTCATTGTATAGTAAAGCGGAATAAATTAAGAATTGATAATTAACACCATCTTTTAAGTTTCAGAAAAAGGATAAATCAAGAATTTATAACTAACGCCATCTCTCGAGTTTCAAAAAAGATAAATCAAGAATTTATAACTAGCGCCATCTCACGAGTTTCGGAAATAAGATAAACCAAGGATTTATAACTAGCGCCATCTCTCGAGTTTCAGGAATAAGACAAATTAAGAATTTATTATTAGTGCCATCTTTTGAGTTTTGAAAAAAATAATTAAGAATTTATTATTAGTGTCATCTTTTGAATTAAAAAAAAAATAAATTAAGAATTTATTATTAACGCCATCTTTTGAATGTAGAAAAAAGATAAATTAAGAATTGATAATCAGTGCTATCTTTCGAGTGCTTTATTTTTAAAAAGATCTTTAAAAAGATGTTATTTCTACTCACAAGATGTCACTGAAGATCAATTCTTAGTATCTCTATCTTCTTCAGCAATTTGCTATCTTCCCTTACTGTGATTTATTTACGGCATTCTAAAGATGATACTAATTTCAATATTTTTATTCTATCTTTCTTCTTCTCCCACTTTTGCTTTCCCAATATGCTCGCTTTACAATTTACAATACACTCAAGAAATAGATTAGATTAACTGTAACAACTAAATTTACAATTAATCAACACTAGCAATTACACTAGCAATTATATCGATAATATAAATATTTGTGGATAGATAGACTACAGGTAAATACTACATTCAATGAAGATTTTTAAAATATGTATAATCTTTCTAGCTTGAATTAAAACATATATTTAAAAGGAAAATACGAAGCCATAAAAATCATATAAGATTCTACCTTCTCTTATTCGTATGTAATTTCAATATTTCGTGCACGTGCATGTTTGTTTAATGGAAATGAAAAACACTCGATGCTATTTTCCACAGCGCAAACGTGAAATGTCTCCTCCTCCCGCCCCTCTTACTCCCTGTTTCCCACCGTCTCTGTGTATTTCTCATAGTCCGTCCAACATACTCTTGCCGCAATGTAAGCATGAGGCAACGACTGCTGACCCGTCATATTGATCGACCTGGATCCGCACTTCGCCTCTATCCGATTGCGCGATTCGGGTGGCGCTTCACAGACTGCGCCGCGACGCCTCGCGACGCTTAAACACGCTAGCGTAGTCGCAACCACTGCACTTGTTTTTACACCGCATACGTCCTTCTTCTACATGGAATCGTCCTCCGCCATGCTGGTGTTGCAGTGATCACATAAATCGACAAGAGTACGCGTATTTATCGACGATAGTGACGGTCGGATCTGGTCGAGGGGAACCGAATCTTGGAAATTAGCGTTCCTCTAATCTTCGCCGAGTTTCCGGTTCCTTTGAACGATTGACCATTCCGGATCTTCTCCTCACGAATCGTGTACGTATTGATGAAAATACAAAAACGAACGATCTTATTTCATATTTTTATCGACGAATGGTTTCTCGACTCGTTTTATTCGTGATTTGTTCGTTAAAGGGGTTGATTCTGCTGTGTGTGTGCATGTGCTTCAAGGATAGCTAATAATTTTAACGTGTCTATTGGAACGTATAGTGTTAAATTTGTGTAAGAAACCTGTAATATTAAAATCGTGTGCATGTTAATCGTAACTTAATCATGTTCTGTTTTTTATTTGATTCTTAAATTAATCCACTTTATTTTGAATAGTATTTTTCTTCTTTGTCGTTCGTTAATTGGTTCGTTACTTTATGCTGTTACTTTTTTTTTCTTTTTTCGTTGCTCGAGAGGAGGGGTTATAGAATTAATTGTTGTATCTCGAAATGGTATGTTTAATATCGAATATTATATATGGCGATCTCGTGCTCTTTATCATTCAGGTTTTCTCAATTTTTATTCGAGAACAACGTGTTGATTTTTTGTATCGTTGTTGAGGAAGTCATTCATGTAATATTTCGATGTAATTAAAAAATATCATTTGATCGTTAAAGTCTATCGAAGAAATTATAATTATTAATAAATAAATCTTTTATTACTTTCATAGTAATGGATAAAGTTGGTTGTGAAATAGGGAAATTTTATTTATGTTTATCTTATGTTATGATTTATTATTCCTTATGATATATTATTGTTATCCTATCAAGAATTTATCTCGTAATTTTTATATTTAGTTTTTTCTTTGGTCAGTTCATAAGTCAATTTGATCTTAGATAATACCACGAGTCTCACTTATGAATATATAACAAATTATTTAATTATTGGATTAGGCTAGGAAAATATCTACGTGAGTTTATGTAGAAAAAGTGTTCAGAATTATATAAATAATAATTTTACTTTAACATAGTGATATTTTCACGTATTGTAGACATTGAAGACATTAAAAGAGAGTAAAAATCTGTAAAAATACAAGTTAAAATCGGATTCAAAATTGCATTATCGTGATTTCTTTTACCGCCAATATAAACATCTTTTTGAATTATTATCAAAATTAATTTTTAAAATTCTAAATTTTTTTAAACTAATTAAAAAAAAATTTCAAATAAATTATAGTTTACATTTACTAAAAGCAAAAAAAAAAAAAAAAAATAATTTACTTATAAATGCAGCATTCTTTTATAAAATATCAATATCAAAAATTAATAAGATTTGCACGTTATCTTGAGCAACAGGTGTCCAAATCTTGATCATTATTAATATCTTAATTCTTGAAAAAAAATAAGGTAAATATTATTCACACGTAAACTTATTTGACTAATATAAATTGGTAAAATTGAATATAACATTTGTATAAAACATTTAATTCGTTTAATTCGTTCCATCAGCATCTTTTTTTTGCATGAAATATTTACTGCGCGCTATGACGTATGTATGTATACATTTCTCACGAGAATTTTCCATTACGTATCTCATACATCAAGTGGCTATTTTATCAATTATTACGCAAACATTTGTATTGCTTGATAGCAAGCCGTTTAACCAATCGTTATATACATATACACTTGTATTGCCTCCTAAATTGATTAATTGCTTTGTCACATATTCTCAGTTTCGAAGTTTTATATAAAATTATATATTATGTGCCATCATGCATAAAGTGTAAATTTATTTAGAGACGAGATTTATTGATATTTAACACAGCTGTGAATTATTTTCAATCAAACGAATTTTTTCTTTTCGAAACGATGATATCAAAAATAATAATTTTCAAAGAAAAACGATTTTTCACCAGAATATTATATAAATATATTATCAATGTAATATTATAAATATCATATGTTGTATTTATACATTTTTGTACTTTCATTTGGAAGAAGGATCAGAATTATTCTTCAATATTCCGCGAGAAATAATATAAACGTTTTATATTAATTCGATCGTTGAACTTTTTTATAAAAAGAAATCATGCTAGGAACGAACAAGAAAAAAAAAAATATTAAACTTTTAAAGCGTAAACTTCATCGAGGTAAATTATATAAATTAAAATATTAAAAATATTGAACAATTGCTGGAAAAGATCTATAAATCACAAGATCTCGTCCAACAAACGTATTTTAAACGTTTCGTTAAATTCGACATTCACATTACGTTTTGAATGTCGCGTTCAATTAAAACAAATTGAATACTTCCCTTGCAAAGTCGTTTTCCTCCGTCATAAATAATTATTATTCGTTTCCTGACGAAAAACGAAGCCAGTTACACGGCACGACGATTTTCATTGACGTCGAATCTTTTCGTTTTGAAATTATTTCAGGATTCTTTTCCCTGTCGGATCCATCACGGGGCACCGTGGCGTTGTGCTCGAATGAATGCCTGGCAGGAAGATGAAACCGCGACATTGTGACGGAAGACACGATCCACGCTGGGACGATCGTTCGTTCTCGTGGCATTGCGTCAATCCCACAAATTCGAAATCAACAATTCGTTTCTGAGAATTCTTCATTCTCGCTTAACCCTTCGAAAATTTATGTTTCACACGGTTACAAAAGGACCAAAAATCTTCGTCGACGCATTATAACGAAGGTAAATCATCTTGCCGTATAAAAAAATCTTTTTAGGTTGCACATACAAACGGGTTATTCACGTTATTTTACTTTTTGCTGGAAAGATTTAAGTTTATAATAATGATATAATTGAAGAATTTTTTGAGATTTTAGTATGATAGAATATTTTGAATTGTTGAAACGCATGCATGGTAAATTAGAGGATGGGAATTTTTAACAGAGATAATGAAGAAATTTATTCTTAGCTTGTACCTTGCTTTTTTGCTTTTCGTAGAAAGATTATTGTGTCATTATTGTGAATTCTTGAGTGCATCGAGAAAATTATCCATATAATAATTCATAGATGATAGAATAAATTTGCTGTACTATCATCTTTGCAAATTTCAGATTGTCGAAAAAAAATAATTGGCGGGAAACGTAGGATGAAAATATTTTTTAATAGATTAGTCGCTTATTATCGCTTTTGTGGAATAACGCAATTGGCTTGGCGAATCGACATTGAAGAAAAGATGATGCACAAAGTATTTTATTTTTGTTATTTTGTTATGAACTATTTGCAGATTTCTTAGAAAATCATTTTGTTATCTAATTATTTCGAGATATGAAAAATCTATTTTTCAACAAACTATGTGCAAAGTACAAATTACAAATCGAATATTTTACAAATCATGCAAATTTGATGATTAAATTCATAAATTTGGATTACTTATAATTCAGTACTATTATTGTTTATTTCATAGAAAAATTAATAATCAGAGTAATAATCATTTCATTTTAAGTTAAGCTAAACGCTTATGTATTATCTTATTAATTTTTAAATTTGACAAATTTCAAAACTAGGTAAGCTTATATTCGTAAAACGAGAATATGTGATATTTTGTTGGCTCGATTATGTGCTGCAGTCTTATTTGCCGCAAGATTGCATGAAAGCCAGAATGTACTGACCCGAATACTACTTGTAATTAACAACATGTGCCAAGAAAATTTACATCCCTAATTTTTTTATAATTTGTTAAAATAATGAAATTTTAATAAATTGATATCATATTAAATCTAAACTTATCAAAAATTATTTCTTCCTTACAAAAAAAAAAAAAAACAGTATAAATAATAAATAATTGCCATAATATTACCATTCCATAACATGTATGATCTTTTCTAAAAAATTTTTAATCCAATTTCTCATGCTTTTCCCTAGCTAATCATTTATTCTTCCTCTAGTAATTTTAAAAAATTGTAGAAGAAATTAGAATAAAAATCGGGATATGTTAATATTTTTAAAATAATTATAAATTTTCTCGCGTCGTTGCAGCGACATATTGTGCATTGTTTCATCAATAAAAGATAATTATTAAATTTATATCGTCTTGCTTTGAAGCTTAATTTGATAAACTTCAATATTTTTGATAGTGATTCGATGTAAATATATTTTTTGATATGAATTATATTGATCATTTTACGTTGTAAAGTGTAAATGATTAAAAAATATTTTTTTAATTTACAACATTATTGACAATTCAACTTCACTTGCAATAGTGTCAAATCTGTGAAATTCTATTCTTAATTTAATTCGTCTCCCCCATTTCTCATTATAAATTCAAATGCTTTCGATTCAAAGCCTTCATAATTTTACAGAGAAGATTGAATAAACGCATCCGACATATCGATTTTCTAAAATTGGCGATTCTATTTCAGTTCTATCACGCTTTCTTCCTCAATTACGCTACGTAATTAGAAGCAGCCAACCAAGATGTCAACGAGAAATGAATAAAAAACGCCAATAAAACTTTTTTCTCATTTTGCCTTTTTTTCATTTTCAGTCGATCGCCTGACAGGCGAATGCAACTCCTTGAATTGTATCAAAAACGAATTTTCACCGTAGGGATAAGCTCGTGACACGGCATGAGGTTGTACAGGAAATAAATGGAAAACTATCGTACTGGAAACATGTTGCCGAATTACTTGATAGGGGGTGAGTTTTCCTAAGGATTTCTTTTTCTTCTTTCTATTTCTACACCGATTCTTGTTTACCAATTGTTTATCAAAAAAACGTTACACGTATCTCCTTTTTGAAATCGTATTCATTATTTATTCGTTTCGTTGTGAAATGAATCTCTCAGGCACATATTTAATCGACATACATAAGCACGAAATTATACAGAAAAACACACACGCGCGAAGATTTAAGCGAAAATTTTGCATTACAAGTTTTTTTACACACTGTTTCTGTAATTAGTGATTGTTTAATGTGTTTTTGAAAATTTATACATTTATTGTGATAGATTGATACTTTGTTGTAGTTGAATCTATTCATTGATTTAACGTAAAACGAAATCTTTTTTCCTGTTTTGAATATATTCATATTTTTGATCGATTATTCGAAACAAGTATATAATCTTATAATTGTATATCTATTAAATAATTGTAATAATAGAGCTGTTGTATATTTATTGTATTTACTATATTTGTGCTAGTAAATTTATCTTCGTTTGATTTATAACGCAGCATTTAATCGTAATCGCTTACTCCATGTATTGATATTTCTTCTATCGAGTATTGAATACCTGGTAATTAATGTTTTTTGCTCGTAATTTTCCAATACAAGTAAATTAATAAAAAAAAAATATTTTAATATTTTACGGTTCGATGAGTTCGAAATGGAATGAGAAAAGAAAGAAAAGGGAAGGAAAAACGAAAGAAAAGAGGATATACGAAAAATTATTTATCGCTTTATACCGAATTATTATTCTGATCTACTAGAATTTTCTTTTCAAAACAATAACAAATGCCTGAATAGTTAGATACGAATGGACAATGCTTTATCGATTGTTTTGGAGGTGATCAAGCGCACTATTCGGGGGTGAGTGTGCAAACGACGAAAACAGAAGGAAACGTAGCGAGAAAAAGTGAAGCATAAATAAGGATGGACGGATACATTGTTGTGCATAAAAGTTTTATCCTAAAATTAAATTAAATTGAAATGTTACGAAATATTTGAGAAGCCTTAAAGTGGAATGCAAATCGTTAGAAATAAATTAATTAAAATGAGATGTAATTTCAGCTAAAGTTTAAGGATTTTCGTTGAATTTAAAATTTTTTTTTTTCGAAAAGATTACTTTTATCCTCAACAATGTTAAAATAATTTTGTAACTTCTTTTTTGTTATTCTCATAGATTATGTACATATATATATATATATATATTTTTATATATATATATATATATTATATCTATATACAGACTTATTTTTTTCTCTTTTTTTAAAAAAACGATATTTTAGAATTAATTATATTAGTATTCACGCGTACGATCGCTGCCCCTGTGCACGAGGTACGTACCAGTTAGTTTCTACAAATTGATAAAAAAAAATGGTATAAGTTTCGATGAATGGTCGTGAATCGTTGTTTATTACATTTGATTGAACAAATTCTTACTCATAATTCAAAATCAGAATACGTACTGTTAATAATAAAATGTGCATGAGAAAATATTGTTCGTGTCATTAATAATTTATAATATGGAGAATCAAGGAAGTACGACACGTAAGTCGTAAACTATTGACTTATTCTACTTTCATATACTAGAGTCGGTCGAATCTATTATACGTTTTATTTAAAATTAGTGACCATTCTTTTTACATCGAAGCCTATCTTATAGTCCTTATATTTGACAGAAAATCAGATTAATTCGAAGAGCAGCATCGACTAATAATATGTACTACGTATTATAATACTAGTCTATTACTATTAGAATTCTTATACTATTTCAATTAAGATTTCGAGTATCGAGATATCTAGATATTTTAGCCAGGTCAAAATTAAGATCAAAACTTCGAAAGTGACTTTATTAAATTTTTTTTTTCATATCAAACAATTAATTAATTATTATGAATATATCGATAGAGATTCAACTATTTCAATTATCGTATTGATCGTTCTACTACTAATCGATAAAATATTTAGATATCAAGATATTTAAGTGTGTGTAGTCACTACGTAAAATTTTTTTTAGATGCAACCATAACGATGAATATAGTCGTTGCAAATAGCGAAGGTAGTAGCAATAGGAAAAATAGCGGGTAGTTCTAGCAGTGTGCACTCTTCTTTTTTTTCCTGTTAATGATTATCATTTCGTAGACATTTGCAGCAAATATCATCGTTGTCATCGTCTAAAGCAGTGGCCAATGTTTCGTTTCAGCGGCAATTGTACTTGCGGTTGCCACCGTCTGTCGCGCGGAGTGCCAGAGTAAGTGATCAAATTCAATCAATTTCACTTCATTGTTATCATCTCTTCTTATCTGTCAACATTGTTTCACTCAAGCTTGCTGCTCTCAAGATTCGTTCACACTATTAATTTTTTTCCTCCTCTTTTATTCATTTTTTTTTTAACAATTTAATTATAAATTATAATTAATTTTCTGCTATCCACATTATATATAAATATAATTTTCTATTCACTTTGTCTTTTCAGACAATTTTTCTACTTCTTTTTCTACGATTAAGAGAACGTAGTATTTTGAGAAAATTAATTTTATATCGGATAATTAATCGGCGCTTCAATATTTTTCTATTTTTATCTATTATTCACAAATTTAGAAACCTAATTCAGAAGATGAACGTTGCGTTTCATTGTTGTCCTTTTTTTACAGCTCGTTCTATTTATTGCTACGAATGCGACTCGTGGACGGATTTTAGATGCAAGGATCCTTTCAATTACACCGCACTTCCCAGGGATCAACCGCCTCTTATGACTTGCAATGGATGTTGCGTGAAGATGGTTCGCAACGCAAGGTCGCGTAAGTAATTTCTTACAAGAAATAATTATTTTTCCATTTGAACGATTAATATTAATTGTGACATCTCACAATTAAATGCACAGAGGGAATGGAAAAAATTAAAAAAAATTAAATTATTATAATATTCTCTTTATAATTTCTTTTCTAATTCTTACACATCCCATTGTTATTACTTAACATTTCTCGACTCTCAATTTCATTATTCATATACACACACAAGTTGTTACTTGTGTTTTTAAAAATTTTTAACCACTGGACAATCACCGAATAATCCCTCGTCTCTGTTCGCAGCGTATGAGAGCGTGAGGCGGACCTGCACTTCGCAGCTACAGATAAACTTATTCATGGTGGATCACGTGTGCATGATGGAAAGTACCGGCACTGGTCACATGTGTTTCTGTGAGGAGGATATGTGCAATCGTGTCTCCCCGACCTCGTGTTCGAATCCCGCACTCCTGCTGATCCTGTCGACCATCCTTGTACTACGCTCGGTCATCTTAGGAGCCCCAGCTTGCTTTGTAGAACGTTGCAATGGTCACGTCGTATAACACTAATTTAACTCGATTCACCCGCCAGTGATTCCGATCATATCCTCCGTAGAATTTTAGTTCTAACCAGCGACTGAGAATTCCGCTCGGGACGAGCGATAATGTACCCCTATTCACATTAACCTCCCCCCCTCCCTCCCCCTCCTGTTGCAAACGAACGATCGTCGATACGTGTCTTTGTCGTAGAAAAAGGAGGAGGATCTGTCGATTGTGCATCTAGCAATGCAAGATCTAGCAATTTCAATTGTAAAATTTTAATGATTCGTTGATCGACTTAAGGATCCTCTTCTTTTTTTTTTTTTCCTTTTTCGAAGATTGTTTTGCATCGCTCGTCCCGATCCCTTCTTCGGTATAAACAGTAGCGAAAAATCTTGACCGTGTTTCGTGTAGATAAATCATTCGTCTCTCTCTCTTTTTCTCTCGTCATTGTCACCACGATTTTACGTCTCCCTTTTTTTTTCTTTTCGATTCACGGCTCCTTTTTAACGAAATTGGAAAAAGTATTCGGTTTTGATTTTTTTAGAATCGTCAAAAGTATTTGAAATTATATAATTCGATGTAAATTATCACGAATGATTTTTTTAAATTCATTCACGAAACAGAGAGTAGAGTGAAATTTTAACTGCCAAGAGGAAAATCGTGTATTATAGAGCCGCGTAGAAAAAAAGTTCTCACGCGATTTCGTGATGCATTATTCTCCGCGATGATTTGTCGATCATGAATTATTTTTAATTGACGACAGGTTTGCTGCATGTCCATTTAAGAATAATTATTATTACCGACGCTATTCGTTGACCCGTTTAGCCCTCAAGTGAATCTGATGCATCTTAGATTAGATTAGAATTAAAAAAAAACTTCTTTTCCCTTCTTCAATCCTTGCTCATTTATTCTCTAAAAGTTTCGAACATTTCGTTCCCTGTTGTTAGAACACACAAACATCTTGACGATCGAATCGAGCTGCTCCTGATAACGTGCGATAAAAATAGTTATAGTTCGTCGTAATTTCGTGATATTTTTGGAATGTTTTTCATTCAAACTTCTTACTGTCTTGATCAATCTATGTGTTTCCATGTGTCCATAGACTCATGTCACTTTCGACTGAGCGAATGTAGAAAAAAAAAAAAAAAGAAAAAGAAAAAAAGATACAGTAGGTACAGTGTTTGCAGCGTTGTTCGATCATTGCAAGATCATAGGAGTTTAATGTGTATATTAAATAGCTATATTTATCTCACACGTTTTACCGCTTCCCCACACCTTGCACTGGGAATGATGGACTTTCTCCAGGCAAAATTGTTCAAGTGACGAAGAATGAAACGAATTGTGACGCGGAAGGAAAGAAACAGACGCGATGAACGTCCATATTTGCGAATACTTTAGAGAAGAGAACTTTAGAGAAGAGGTTTGACATGGAAAGATGAAATGGAAAGATAGCGTTATTAATCAAAAGTTCTGTTTTAAAAATTTAAAAAAAAAAAAGAATTCCAAAATGTTCAAATTCAAATTTTGATACGAACATAAATTGGAGATCATTTTACAAGATGATTAGATGATGCTAGTTTCTCTTTTAAACAGTTTTAACAAATTCATTCAAAAAAATACGGATTTTTGATCAATCTCTGTCACGATAGTGCAAATATGGTCAACATTTTCGACAACATTCTCTGTTTCTTATCCACCATGTGTCACAATGACTCTTGCATTAAGGGATTCTTCGTCACTGATTGCCCCTTTATATGTTTATCCATTTGCCATTTTTTTACGAGACATTGATGTTTTGCGCGCCGTGCATAAAAAATAGCGAAACGAGAATGGAGCTTATAAGTAGATCACCACGATCTGGCCGCATGCCCATCTGAGAACAACATCGTGAGAAAAGCAACTGGACTGGAACCGGCGAGGATCGATGCATCAGCAGATTTTTCGAGTTGTTCTACGTTTTTTCCAGTTGTTGGAATCGAGCGCGTGTGGTTTGTCTCGATCGATACATCAAGTTTCGATTATTGGCCAGTTATTGGAAACTTTAACTATTCGAATATTTTTCATTTCATCTCAATGATCTTTAATAAGTATTGCAATCGTTATATTTACACGCATTTTATTACTTGTCTCGATATCTTGAAGTTTCAACAAATAATTGATACATTTTAATTTCATAACAGTTAAAGAAAGAAAAAAGAGAACGAAAGATGAAGATCGTTCAACGATTACTCAAGCGTTTTGAAAATAACGATGAATAGATCGTGGAACAGCACACACGCGCATGGTACCACACGGTAGTATTAGTGAGTTTTGCAACTACATATCTAACAGAAGTGTGTTTCCACACGTAGAATGAAGAGAACTCGAGCATGGACCGTAGCACTTTTCAGTAACAGTGTGGTTTGAAAGTCACGGCAGAGGAAACTCTAAATGACAGCCCCTTCCCCTGGACGAGAAAGCTTTGCTCAATCGGAATCGCCTAGACCTTATCGTCACGCGCCCCTTATTTTCCTCTGTCCCGCGACTTTCGTGTCGCAATGCAGTAAACACCTTGCATGACACTTGCATGAATCTGTTACTTAGTGATTCTGCGAAAAAATCTGGGTATCCCGTGTAGTCGCCGCTTCGAACAGGAAACAGACATTCCATTCAAACTATCTCTCCAAATTGTCATTTTTTTCGGAAAATTGATAGAAACGAAACCATTGTTATTAATAAATGAGATTTGATTTGTCCGTTTCCCGAACGAGGCCCGGCTCTCAAAAACAAGAACAACCCTCTGTAACACAAAAACCTTCCACCCCGACGAATGAAACGCGAGGCAGATCGAACTAACAGAAAAAAAGCACAACGTGGGCCTTCAGCTTCGATCGTGCCACGCCATCATTTTAACAATCAGGGGCGCTTTCAGGCTTGCCGGAAGTCGGGGTTACCGCGACTCGTGTCGTAACTCCGTTGTTATTATTATGCAGCACGCAGCGAGGAGCTCGATCGGCGAAACACGACCAACGACTCGTACGATTTTTGAGATCAGCTTTGAGGCGACACGCTGCCCGAGAGGCGACTAAAAAGGTGGCATATCTTGTCTCAGTGATATGGCTGGCACGGCCAAGTTGAACGCGCATGTCCTCACAGAGAGGCTTCCTGTGTGAAGCCTCTTGCCAAACAAGCTTCGGTGCTTGCTTGAGTGAAAGCGAGCCAACCGGTGTTTCTCTGGCAAGCCATGCGGCTCGTGTCGCGTCATTTGTTCATTATCGCACGCGCGGCTGCGAGGCTCTACCTTCTCTATTCTCTACAACATTTTAATTTCACTTATGCGTTTCTCTTCTATCTGTCTGCTATCCTTTTTATTTCCAGTTTGTCATTGCGCGACCGATCCACTAGCTCTATGGATCCACTCCTCTATGGATTGGAGCGAATATGGAAGATATGGAGGATGATTGTTGAGAAATGTCGTGTCGTTCTGGTAAGGGAGGTATTGGTCGTTCAATCGAAGAGATTATTTTTTTTCTGTGTGTAAAGAGAATTTCTTCCTTCCTTCCTTTCTTTTTCTTTCTTCCTTCCCCAATCCGATTTTCCCAACTTGATTTTCGTCATTCGTGTTATTGTCAAGATTAAAAAAAAAGAAAAAAATAGCAAAAGCATGGCTAGAGAAAGAATGCGACAGGCAAGAGAGGGGAGCAGCAATGACAACACTGACGTCAGCATGTAACACGAGTGAATCTCCATTTTTAAGTTTGGCCTCGCAGCTGGAAAGTATCCACGTAACGCTACCGATACAACTATATACTACCATGCGAAGTAATGGCGGATGCGCTGAGGCGAATCTTAAACAGCTCGATCGAACTTGAACCGGATTTTAACTAACCGAACTTCTATTTTGGATGATCGAATTTCTTTTTTTTCTCTCGCTCTCTCTCTCTCTCTCACTCTCGTACAATTGTGTACTTTTAACGATGAAAATTTTAACAATGTTTCAGAACGTCAGAAGCATCAGAGATCACGTTCACCTCGATCGAGACTGTTTCAGTTTCAGCTTCATGAGAACAAAAAAATGACACAATGGGATCGATACTTTACTTTACTTTACCCGCCTGTTTACACGAAAAGCTAATAGTCCAAGTGCTTGCATAAGAATCGAGGTGATATTCATTTTATTCGATGTACACACACAAAATTTGTCTCTGTTCAAAGATCGATGTGTTACGATTGCGCCGACAAGATGCCAATCTTATGTATCACATACGCTCTGAAACACTTTTTATCTCGATGTTTGATGATGAACATTCGCCATGGATTGAATGACGTATGATCAATATATATTTTACGATGCAAGTGTCAACAATCCTCCCTTATGTCTCCACGTGTATCGATGTGTATCGATTTTGTATGATCGTTGCCCCGAAATGTTTATTTATTTATTTTTTTTTTTTACCACTTGTTGGCTCTTCGTTCATGTGTCAGTTCAGTTGATTTTATTAAAAAAAGATTTGATATTATCTATTATTATTATCTATTATTATTATTATTATTATTATCTATTATTATTATTATTATTATTATTATTATTATCTATTATTATTGTTGTTGTTATTATTATTATTATTATTATTATTATTTATTATTATTATATACGATGGCATGAAATGATGTTTCGATGGTAAAGTAGCGTTTTTCGATTATACTTTTTTTGGCACGTGATTTCGTTGTCCCCTAGTTAGCTCCATACGGACACGATTTTGTTTCAAGCTCGTCGATTGTTGCCTATAACGCATATGAATTTCTTATATTATTGTTGTTTCGAATGATAATAATAATGTTTATAAAGAGTGAAGAGATGAATATCTAGTTCATAAGGAAATGGAATATCGATTATTTTTGTTGCTTGTATACCCTTTAATTGTATTTTAATCGTGACGAGGATTGATTAATTAATTAAATATTGTTTTGAATAAGCGTGGATAAGCTTAAGTTAGGGCGATAAGCTTGTTTTGTTCACATTGTTCACGATGTGTTCACAAAAGATTAAAACATTTTTCTTTTTTACAGAATAAAATATAGGTTTATAGAATTATTGTGTTGTCACGGCAGCACCT